GCACAGCGGTATGTCTGCGGACTTACAACGCTAGAAACCGGGTTTCGATACCCGTGGTGGGCAGAACACAGATAGCCCTTGTGTAGCTTTGTGCATAATTAAAAACAAACAAACAAACAAGCTAACTGCTTCTGAATATCATAGTGTACAACAAAGAAGGAACTGCTTGTAGCTATAGTATTTGTCAAATATTATCACTACTACTTGTATTGTAGGGAGTTCACCATTCAAATAGACTGTCAATTACTAAAATGGTTGAACTTCAGTAACTCAAAAGATATAATTGTGCACTTGATAATGCTGCAAGATTACAACTTCACTGTACAATACCATCCTGGTCAACAACATTGAAATTGGTGAATTATCTCGCCAACTTAGAAAGTTCTTGTCTGTTTATTAAATGTTTTCAAAACCCTTGCAGCAGAAGTGACAACAAACCATAGGAGCAGTGACAATTCTGCATTTGGATAGATACTACAATTAACCACTCAAGAGCTTTGTGAGAAGTGTTTGAAAGTTACAAACATAGCTTGGGTGCTTCTTGCCATGCAACAAGGAGAAGTATGACCATCAAAAACTGGTAAACATAGTATTGATGTATGTAATGTATGGCATTTGTATAATCAGTTGAGTGCAGACTCAAGTGAGGTGCACACTGTTGAGTGTATGCTTATTAAGTATGTGAAACCTAAATTTGGATGAGCACTTACACTGTTTTATGATGATATGCCATGTAAGTGGGCAACAGTTAACATGTTGTTCTCCTGAAGTTCAAACAAAAAGTATAGCTTTCAGTGGATCTAGTGTAAGGCCTTCCTTCCATCCAGTACACAAAGGTTGTAATGACCACAGAAATATATGGAATGTATACGTTTACAATAGTTGATGTGCATCAGCAAATGGATAAAGTGGTCATGCATCATAAAAGAAGCTATAACAAACATTAGTGGAACAAACGTTTGAGTCTGATAACTGTATGTGACTGTAATATATGCTTGCAGCACATAAGTAACTCAGTGGCCTATATCTCTCCCTTTGACAGATCAGTGAGGTAAGCTATGAGCTACAGCATTCTTGTACCACAAGTAAGAATATCAAACACCTTAACAAGTTCAAACTATACATCTCAGATGAGCTTCTCAAGAGCAATAATGGTCAGGAAGAAAAAAACTGACAGTAGATATCTGAATATCCAAGAGGAAATGCAAGGAGCAGCTTGTCTGGTCTAATGATCAATGCAGATGCCAAAGAAGACCTCCTAATCATTATGGCTAGGATTAACTGTTTGACTAGCAGTTAGGATGATTAGTTGATTGAAAAACTAATAACTGAAAATAAATATTGTTTCTTGTTTTCTGAGCTTTCAGGTAGTGATTTGCAGTAAAATGTCTAAAGGACAAATGGTTGGTTGAAAGATCACCTACAGGTGAAAGAGCATTGTAATCAATAATAAAAGAAAACAATATTGTGAAAAAAAACAACCCAATAAATGGAAGAAACTGTCAGAAGTCTGATATCGGACTAGTTTCGACACATTTGTGCATCCTGTTCAGTCTCATGTTGTTTTCTAACAGTTTGTTCCATTTACTGTGGGGTTTTTTTTCAGCACCACGATCTTTACTTTCTAATATATTGAGCAAAGTTTAGATGCAAAATATTAGTCCAATGTCTTGTAATAATTGATTAACCTCATTTAAGTTGAATTAGAAGCTATAGTCACTGCATGTGAAGTATTTGACTTAGTTGACATAAGGAGTTAATTGGTTTGCAGTCTTACCCTGCCTTCCTAGCAGAACTATCACTCAGCTATTGGGTAATCACACAGTGGTTACTCTAACCAGTCAGTGATTTGCTTAGAAAAACTGTGTAGACAAAACTGTACTGGAGTGGCTAAAATTCTGTTCACACTGACTTGAACA